CAGGTGTTCAAGACCAGCCTGACCAACATGGTGAAACCCTGTCTCTACTAAAAATACAAAAATTAGCTGGGCGTGGTGGTGCACGCATGTAATCCCAGCTACTCAGGAGGCTGAGGCAGGAAAATCACTTGAACCTAGGAGGCGGATGTTGCAGTGGGCCGAGATTGTGTCACTGTACTCCAGCCTGGCAACAGAGTGAGACTCTTGTCTCAAAAAAAAAAAAAAAAAAAAAAAAAGCTGAGGCCTAAGCTCAGCCCTGGCTTGCAACACAGACTTACATGAGGAAGGGGCAGGGTGGGGGGCACCTCACATCAGCCTCTTTTGGAAGGACTGTCCCAGAGGGAAAGCCCACGCCCCACACCACAGCACCCCTGCTGAAGCACTCACCATGAAGGGGTTGGTGGACATCCCAGCTGGCTGGCTCAGTGGCCTCTGCCCCAACTTGGCTGATCCTAAGTCCCCGAAGGAAGAGCCTGGGGGGCCAAAAGCAGTAACACAGCTGACACCAGCCTGCTTTCCTGCAGGCGGACAGCAAGGGGGCCTTGCTAATAAATTTCAGGAGTAAAGGAATGGAGCATTGGTAGTTCCCCTGGCGAGTCTGGTGTTTCTCTGGTCCCCGCCCCCTGCTGGTCACAAAGAGCACTGCAAGGGCTCTGATGAGGTTAAAGGGACCACTGATCTCTATGCAGAGAGGGGATGGGGTGAAAGGGACCTATACCTCTGCAACTCTTACCATTCTGCTGCTGAGTCAGCGGGGTCTGCGGGGGGAACAGCGGTGCTGGGAAGGAGCTGGCAAAGGCCCCGGTGGGTGGCATCGCCTGGGGGAAGCCAGGTCCAGCACTGCTCATCCCAAAGCTAGGCCCTATGGAATGAGAGACAGGTGGCTCAGGCAAACTTCTGGAAGGTGGACTGGAGAACTGTTTTTCCTAAGTCCCTCCAAGATGGGAAAATGGGATATAGTTTTCCCCTGACAGGAGGTACCCAGAGGAAATACCCTTAACCAGCCATGGAACTCTTTTGCTTCTCACACCACCAAACGACCCTGCCCTCTCCCTGCTCTGTGGGCACATGGGGCACAGTGGTTCCAGGAACGGGCGTGGTACAGGACTGGGCCAGCCTCCCACTACCTGCTAGACTGCAAAAATGGCGCAAACTTCTAATGCTGTCAATGTCTCAGTTTTCTCATCTCTAAAATGGGGACAGTCCATCTCCTAGGGCTGCTGTGAAGAATAAATCAGGGCCATGAAGCCCTCAGCAGCGGGGCCACCACACAGCTCTGCCGTGCTCTCTCTTATTCCTCTCTCTCTGGCCGTGAGGTTTCTGCCAGCAAGAGGCTGCAGGGAGAGCGGCAGAGGCTGGGGAGGGCCAGGGTGAAAGAGCCTGGAGCTGATGGAAGCCAGGAACCACGTGAACGTTTCAGGTGGATTAAGCTTCAGGGCACAAAAGGGACTGAGGATGGGTGCCTGAAGGGACACTGCTGAGGGCTGGAGAGAGGAGATTCATTGCCACTATTGGTCAACTTTAAAACAGTCTTCAATGCCATCTCCGGTGAGTAGCTGTCTGTGTGCTCCTAATTCTAAAATCTGGCTCTGTGACCTGCGTGCTCGGGGGCCTGGCACCGTGTGGGCAGGGGAAGGACCAGGCTGTCTGCTTCTCCCGACAGCATGAGACAAGGGGTTAAGGGAGAGGCTGCAGGGCAGTGTGCACCCTGGGAGTCTCAGGTGGTCAGGGCAAGGGACCGTGCTGGAGGCTTACCTGGTGCCAAGCCGTTGGGCTGGAACGGGTTGGTGGAAGGCAGCGGGGGCTGCGTGGTGGGGGCTGCGAAAGGGTTGGTGAAGGCTGCCCAAGTGGAATGGGGAGTGGCGGGACAGAGAGATGGTTATTATTTTTTTTTTCTCATGTGCTTCATCCTGTGATGCCTGAGCATTCCTCTTAATCTCTCCCTTTCCCGCCCAGTCCAGAGTCCCCAGGCTCCTCTTGGTCTCAGGTCCCCTCCCCTGGAACTCTACAGGCAGGACTCACCTCCAAAGGCCAGCCCTGTGCTGCCGTTGCTGCCTGTCGTGGCAGACTGGAGCGGGGTGACCTGGCCAGCCATCCCGAAGAGGCTGCAACACAGAGAGAGCAGTCATGCCCAGGTGCCAGGGCCGAGCAAACCTGAGCGAGGAGCCAGGAGACCCCAACCCACCCTGCTCTCCAGGTTGACCAAGGAAGGGGAGGAGAGCGGAGAGTGGCCAGGAGATGCCAGTGGGGCTGGGAGGGGCAAGGCCAGACTTCGGGCAGCTCTCCTGCCCTAAGGCAGACTGCCTGATGTCCGTACCTACCTGCTAGGAACACTTGCAGCTGGCATTCCAGGCCCCAGGAAGCTGCCCACATCTGCGAGGGTGTTTGGCTGACTGGCGGGTGCCAGGGGAGCGGCACCGAACAGAGTCCCCTGGTTGCTCCCTGGGTAGTCATGGGAAATACAACAGGAAGGGCTGAGACAGGGAGGGAGGGGCAGGAGAGGAGATGCAGGTGGTGGTGGTGGAGAAGTGGAGTTGTGGCATGACAGGCACCCGCTAGCTTCCCTGAGCCAACCCATTTTCCCAGGTACCACCCAGTTCAAGAGGTCTTGTCTCCCACAGAGAGTTCTGGGCAAGGTGACAGCCCAGCCCTTCTGCGTGTCCCTGTGCTCAAAGCTGCGCTGCGGAGAGGAGAGCAGCTCGTCCTCGGGTCAGGCTGTCCTCCTCCTGCTCCAGTTTGCCTTTCATGTCCCACTTTTCCCTCAAGAGATGGAAAAGCCTGTTATTTCTTCAACCCGCATTTCTATCTATCAGAACGTGGCAGGGAGGGGCAGGCAGAGGCGCCATGGAGGACAGCAAGTCCCATCACACTCAGGAGGCTCCTGGCCTGCGCAGCCTCCAGCCTTCAGCACTGTCCCTTCCCCATTCAGCCACCTCCTCTCGGGAGGCCACCCTGATGCCCTGAGCCTGGACACACTGCTCAGAGGGCCAGCCCTGCTGCCGGGTTCTCCAGCCTTCCCTCTCTTCACAGCCAAAAAGAAAAAGCACAGAGGGCAAGGCCCACATGGAAATCTTACAAAACAGCTGAGGGCCAAGAGTCCGGAAAATTCCAAGCAATCTTGTCTCAGGGGAAGACACCCAGTCCCTGTCATTTTAAGAAAGCCTCCTCTCTGCACATCAAAGTCTCCTCTCTATCTTGGGACCCTGTTGACCATTCTGGACTGCTGTGAATGTAAAAGGAGAGCCCAGATGGAAAAATGCTTTATTGGCCAGACACAGTGGCTCACACCTGGAATCCTAGCACTTTCAGAGGCTGAGGTGAGCAGACTGAGGTCAGGAGTTCAAGACCAGCCTGGTCAACATGGTGAAACCCTCTTTCTACTAAAAATACAAAAATTAGCCGGGCATGGTGGTGGGCACCTGTAATCCTAGCTACTTGGGAGGCTAAGGCAGAAGAATTGCTTGAACCTGGGAGGCAGAGGTTGCAGTGAGCTGAGATCAAGCCATTGCACTCCACCATGGGCAACAAGGGTGAAACTCCGTCTCAAAAAAAAGTGGGGGAGAGAGAATCTACCACGTGCCAGGCACTATGCATAAATAACAGTAACCCAGGCCCTAAGTTGGAGAAGCTGAGAATCTAGCAGGGGAGCTTAGGTGCCCAGTGCCTACCTGCTGCCAGGTCCCAAAGCCCCACTCCCTCTGACTGTCAGCACTTGTAAGACAGTGCTCCCCTTTCCACCTCTTTCCTAAATGCCTGGGCTTTCTAGATGAACAAGTGCTGGCTGCCAGCTTCCTCCTGGGCAAGGCTACAATGCCACTGTGTATACTTGGTCATCAATCCTTTCTAATCCACAGGATGTAAGTCAGGCTAGAAAGCCAGATGGGTGGGGCTGGGGCCAGTGGCTCATGCCTGCAATCCTGGCACTTTCGGAGGCTGAGGCAAACAGATTGCTTGAAATCAGGAGTTCAAGAACAGCCTGGCCAACATGGCAAAACCCTGTCTCTACTTAAAAGCACGAAAATCAGCACATGCCTGTAATCCCAGGTAATCGGGAGGCTGAGGCACCAGAATCACTTGAACCTAGAAGAGGGAGATTGCAGTGAGCCAAGATCAAGCCACTGCACTCCAGCCTGGGCAACAGAGCAAGACTGAAAAAAAGCGAGCAGTGTGGTATTGAATCTTCTACTGACTCTCCCTGCCAAGGCCTTTCCTTGCTTGCCTGCCTCTGAGTATGGTGTGTGGAATTTCCACGCGCGCACGGCGCTCTCTCCTCAGATGGCTGACTTTTCGTACTGCTGTGGTCCTTCAAGTTCCAGGAGTTTCCCCTAGTGAGAACCAGGCTGGGAAGAGAGGCCTCTCCTCCAAGGCTGCAAGCCATGCTGTTTCTCTTTGTGGACACTAGGGGGCAGAACCGTCCCTAGCCCAGGCGACATTGGCCCTTTGCACAGAGGTTGCATTCTCACAAAGGAGGCGGTGGACCAAGGAACACCCGCGCTCCTGTTTGCTTCTCATTTCATGCACTTTTTTGTTGCTGTTGAGACAGGGTCTCACTCCGGTTGCTGAGGCTGGAGTGCAGTGGTGCGATCTCGGCTCGCTGCAGCCTTGACCTTCAGGGCTCAGCTGATTCTCCTACCTCAGCCTCCTGAGTAGCCGGGACTACAGGCTCACACTACCATGCCTAGCTAATTATTTGTATTTTGGGTAGAGATGAGGTTTTGCTATGTTGCCCAGGCTTGTCTCGAACTTGTGAGCTCAAGTGATCTGCCTGCCTCAGCCTCCCAAAGTAATGGGATTCCGGGCGTGAGCCACCACACCCGGCCCTCATGCACTTCTTATTCCACGTAGCTAGATTTCTACCATGCCTTAATGCAGTTTGAGGGAAAGAAGCAGTTTTGAAAACCTCCCCTCTCTATATACTCCCCCTCAGAAACATAAAAATAAAGCAGGCTTGTCAGAAGAGACACCCACCTCTCAAAATCTCCTCTCTCAGTTCACACCCAATAGCTAAGTCACACTCACGGGAACACCTGCATGATCATGGTGTGGTGGGAAGCGGTTCTGCCACTTAGCATTAGATCTGGGCCAAGTTGAGCTAGTTTCCTGCAAAGGGAGGCTCTTTCTTTCCTCATGGACATAACGCACGAAAGCGCCCAGTAATGTCAGGACCCTCATAAATGTTCGTTGGCTCTGGGTCTGGCTGTAGATTGACTGTTTTTGTTGTTTTGTTTTGTTTTGTTTGAGACAGAATCTTGCTCTGTAGCCCAGGTTAGAGTGCGGTGGCACGGTCTCTGCTCACTGCTACCTTAGCCTCCCAGTAGCTGGAATTACAGGTGTACACAACCACGCCCTGCTAATTTTTGTATTTTGGTAGAGAGGGAGTTTCACCACATAGGCCAGGCTGGTTTCAAACTTCTGACCTCAAGTGATACATCCGCCTCAGCCTCCCAAAGTGCTGGGATTACAGGCATGCGCCACCGCGTCCAGCAACTGCTTTTTGAGACAGCCAGACAGTGGACAAAAGGTTTAATCCTTGGGACATCTGTGGGGCTCAGGCTTTCCTTCTCTTGAGTCTGCCTCAACAACTCTGTCTTTAGAGCAGTCAATGGTGCCAGGAAGGCATTTCAGAAGGGACCCATCTGTAACAACTTTATACAGGCTGTTTCCTCAAGTGCTCCCAGTCCTAGGAGCACACCTTCTTACTAAACTGGATATTCCTGCACCAATTTACACTTCTGCCGACAGCCCACAAGGTCTTTTTCCCTACATAGTACTGGCCATTATCAATCTTTAAAACTTTTGCCAATATGATGTGCAAAACTATCTTATCCTAGTTTGCATTTCTCTGGTGAGGTTGAGAATATCCTTTTTTTTTTTTTTTTTTTTTTTTGAGACAGAATTTCACTCTCATCACTCAGGCTCGAGTGCAATGGCACAATCTAGGCTCACTGCAACCTCCGTGTCTCGGGTTCAAGCCATTCTCCTGCCTCAGCCTCACAAGTAGCTGGGATTACAGGTGCCTTCCACCATGCCTGGCTAATTTTTGTATTTTTAATAGAGACAGGGTTTCACCACGTTGGTTGGCAAGGATGGTCTTGAACTCCTGACCTCAGGTGATCCACATGCCTCAGCCTCCCAAAGTGTTGAGATTACAGGTGTGAGCCACCAAGCCCAGCCTATTTTCGTATTTTTTTTCTGGGTATTACCCTTGTCCATTATTCTATTTTCATATTCACAGAAGTTTTAAAAATACTTTATGGATACTAACTTCTGTTTTCCATGTTGTATCTTTTCCCACTCTGTTTCATGCCTTTAAGCTCTGTTTAGGCAATCTTTTATCATACAGAATATGACCTATGGCCAGGCACAGTGGCCTACACTTGTAATCCCAGCACTTTGGGAGGCCAAGGCAGGCGGATTACTTGAGGTCAGGAGTTTGAGACCAGCCTGGCCAACATGGTGAAACCCCATCTCTACTCAGAATACAAAAAATTATTCGGGTATGTGCCTGTAATCCCAGCTACCAGGAGGCTAAGGCAGGAGAATCGCTTGAACCCGGAAGGTAGAGGTTGCAGTGAGCTGAGACTGTTCGTGCCACTGCACTCCAGCCTGGGCAACAGAGTAAAACTCTGTCTCAAAAAACACACAAACTAAAAAACCAAAAACAGCAACAAAAACCAGAATGCGACCTATGTGATTTCTATTTGTTAGAATTTATGGAGATTTTGCTTCCTATAGTTTCTTATCTGTCTGTTAATCATGTAGGAAAGCATATTACAGTCTCGTATTCCATTGGCTTATTAAATTCTGATTGTGTCTAATAGTTTTTGCTTCATGAATCTACAGGTATACGGTTAGTTAAGTATATGATTTTTTTTTTTTTTTTGAGATAGTCTCACACTCTGTCTCTTAGGCTGGAGTGCAGTGGCATGATCTCAGCTTACTCCAGCCTCTGCCTCCCAGGTTCAAGAGATTCTCCTGCCTCAGCCTCCCAAGTAGCTGGGGTCACATGTGTGCGCCACCATACCTGGCTAATTTTTGTATTTTTAGTAGGGATAGGGTTTCACCATATTGGCCAGGCTGGTCTTGAACTCCTGACCTCAGGTGATCCGCCTGCCTGGGCCTCCCAAAGTGTTGGGATCACAAGTGTGAGCCACCACGCCCAGCCAACTTTTGTCAACATAAAATGTTTCTTCTTGTTCCTCCTCCAAAACAATAAAATTAGATAAAAACAAAAGCAGCTAATCAGCTCACGGTGGCAAGTGAGAAGGCTGTGGGCAGAGCATGAGTCAAGAAGTCTGGGCTCTGGGCTCAGCTCAGTCACTCTGTGGGCTGCATGACTAGGGAAACTGCTTAACAGCCTCATCTGTCAGATGGCTAATTTGTTTTTTTTTTTTTTTTTGAGACGGAGTTTCGCTCTTGTTACCCAGGCTGGAGTGCAATGGCGCAATCTCGGCTCACCGCAACCTCCGCCTCCTGGGTTCAGGCAATTCTCCTGCCTCAGCCTCCTGAGTAGCTGGGATTACAGGCACGCGCCACCATGCCCAGCTAATTTTTTGTATTTTTAGTAGAGACAGGGTTTCACCGTGTTGACCAGGATGGTCTCGATCTCTTGACCTCGTGATCCACCCGCCTCGGCCTCCCAAAGTGCTGGGATTACAGGCTTGAGCCACCGTGCCCGGCCTCAGATGGCTAATTTGTAAGTGTTCCTTTCAGCCCTCAAAACTGTATGATCAGAGGCGCTTGGGTAGGCTCTGGAGTCGGGAGAATAACTTACCAAAGCTGTAATTTTCAGTTAGCATCCGACTGGCTGACAGTGAGGGTGGAGAAGAGAAGGATAGGTAGAGGAAGGGAGAAAGAAAATGTACATCACTGGCTTTTCCCAGACATCTGGGCCTGACAGGGAACACTGCAGCGCCCTCCCATGTGTCCAGGATGTCGAAAGGCAGAAGGCAGCACAAATGCTATGAAGACTCGATGTCTAGAGCTTAGGAAGGAGCAGAATGCTTTCAGAAGGCCTGTACAGTCTCTTCAATGGCTAAATAACATAGTTTTTTGGGTCTGTTCATCTGTTTTGAGACAGGGTCTCGCTCTGTCACCCAGGCTGGAGGGCAATGGCACAATAATCACTCACTGCAGCCTCGAACTCCTGGGCTCAAATAATCCTCCCACCTCAGCCTCCCAAAGTGTTGGAATTACAGGCGTGAGCCATCGTGGCTGGCAGCAACACAGAGTTTACAGGTCTTTGGTCTTAGAGGGATAGATGAGGACTTCTGGAGACTATCTTGACCCTTGACCCTTTGGGTCAGTGTACTATGCAGACAACAGCATCTTAGAGAAAAAGTCACATCCATTTTCAATTTTTCTAGGACTCAGGTCTTCCATACTTCCTAGTGAGAAGCTTCCTAGTGTACAACCCACACAACTCCTGCTGCAATCTTAGTTATTTTCCTTGCATTAAAAAGCAGAATAGTGCCGGGCGCGGTGGCTCAAGCCTGTAATCCCAGCACTTTGGGAGGCTGAGGCGGGTGGATCACGAGGTCAAGAGATCGAGACCATCCTGGTCAACATGGTGAAACCCCGTCTCTACTAAAAATACAAAAAATTAGCTAGGCATGGTGATGCGTGCCTGTAATCCCAGCTACTAAGGAGGCTGAGGCAGGAGAATTGCCTGAACCCAGGGGGCGGAGGTTGCGGTGAGCCGAGATCGTGCCATTGCACTCCAGCCTGGGTAACATGAGTGAAACTCCGTCTCAAAAAAAAAAAAAAAAAAAAAGCAGAATAGTAGACCCCCTCTCCCTGACAATCATGTGTTGGACATTCTCATCCTCTCCTGGAGCTGCTTCTTTGTGCTTTGCTGCTTTGCACAGTTCTTTAGGATAGTGAGGATGTGAATGAAGGGTGATTTATGGATGTGAACAACTGGACATGGTTGGAAAAGAAAGGAAGCCAGTGGGGCAGAGTTTACCTGCAGGAGTTGGCTGGGCCTGGAATGGAGCTTGACCAGCTGGAGGGAGGCTTCCAAACGCAGAAGAGCTGGGGCCACTGCTGAAGGCATCAAAGTTGGCAAAGCCCCCGTGGGAAGGTGTCTGGCCTGTAGGTGGAAGACACATAAAGGTTATATAGAAAATTGTCAGGCGTGGTGGCTCACGCCTGTAATCCCAACACTTTGGGAGGCCGAGGCAGGCAGATCACTTGAGGTCAGGAGTTCAAGACTAGCCTGGCCAACATGGTGAAAACCCATCTCTACTAAAAATACAAAAATTAGCTAGGTGTGGTGGTACACATCTGTAATCCCAGCTATCTGGGAGACTGAGGCACAAGAATTGGTGAAACCTGGGAGGTAGAAGGTGCAGTGAGCCAAGATTGCGCCACTCTACTCCAGCCTGGGTGGCAAAACAAGGCTCTGTCTCAAAAAAAAAAAAAAAAAAGAAAAGAAAAAAGAAAATGCATATAAAAAAGAAAATGTATATGCATATCTATGTAATATATCTACTAATTCTAAAGGCCAAAAGCCACTCTTATGGGACATCTGCCTTTCCACAGGGTCCTCTTCAGAGGGAAATGGGAGGGGCCTGGGGCCCAGAGCCACACCCACACAGGGGGACAGGGGCACTCAGGGCCTCCAGGTTCACTCCCTGCCCTCTTCTGTCCTTACTCCATGAGGCATTAACATTTTTGTCAGGGCCTAGTTTGGGGCGTGAAATTTTTTTTCATGGAGGGAAGAGCTTGAAATTTTTTTAAAAAAGGAAAACAGATTCTACGCTACTTAGCCCTCTACTGGCTATTGCTGATTTTGGGGAAGAATAATCTTTGGGGAAATGGAACATGATAATCCCTTCCTCCCATTTTAATAGAGAAAATAAAAAAGGCTATTTCCAGTGTTCTAAAACGAAGTGCTAGGAGCCCTCACTGTAATGTTTTAGGATCAAACTCCCAAACATAATCCCGGCTGTACTCACTTGACCCCAATCCTCCCAGCCTCACTGCTTCAGAGTAACCTTCACATTTGTTTGCATGAGGCGATCTAGAGCCATGGTCTCCTCCAGGGCCTGGATTTCTTGTATTATAAGTATAGATGCTATACCAAGTCCCATATGGGTCCCATACCAAGTCTCACTTACCCCCAAAGGCAGGGAATGCAGCAAAAGCTGGTGCCGTGTGGGGAGCAGCAAAGGGGTCTCCACCGATGTCAGCCAGCAGGTCAGTACTGGCTTTCTTGACAGAGGAGTGGGGAGGTGGCTGAGTGCTCCGGGCCTGGGATATCCGAGCCTGAGACTGAGTGACAGACTTGGAGGAAAAGGAATTTGCATATACCCCTTAGAATCGCAGACATGCCCCAGGCCCTCCCCTGGCTCCCCTCAGATAGGCAGGTACAGAGGGAAGACAGTAAGCAGCTGCCCTCAACTTATAAGTTTCCTGGGCAAGAGCTGCCTTAGCCCCTCTCACAGCTCATATCATCCTCATCTTCTCAGTATACCTGCTCCAAGAACCACACTTTTTTTTTTCAGATGGAGTTTCGTTTTTATTTTTTCTCTTTCACCACCTAACCAATGTACTAGGAGTTTCGCTTCTGTTACCCAGGCTGGAGTGCAAAGGTGTGATCTTGGCTCACCACCACCTCTGCCTCCAGGTTCAAGTGATTCTCCTGCCCCAGCCTCCTGAGTAGCTGGGATTACAGGCATATGCCACTACGCCTGGCTAATTTTGTATTTTCGGAGAATTGTTTTTTTCCTTGAGACGGAGGTTCACTCTTGTTACCCAAGCAGGAGTGCAATGGCGCGATCTCGGCTCTCCGCAACCTCCGCCTCCTGGGTTCAGGCAATTCTCCTGCCTCAGCCTCCTGAGTAGCTGGGATTACAGACATGCGCCACCATGCCCAGCTAATTTTTTGTATTTTTAGTAGAGACGGGGTTTCACCATGTTGACCAGGATGGTCTCGATCTCTTGACCTCGTGATCCACCCACCTCGGCCTCCCAAAGTGCTAGGATTACAGGCATGGGCCACTGCGCCCGGCTGAATTTTGTATTTTTAATGGAGATGAGGTTTCTCCATGTTGGTCAGGCTGGTCTAGAACTCCGGACCTCAGGTGATCCACCCACCTCGGGCTCCCAAAGCGCTGGGATTACAGGTGTGAGTCACCGCGCCTGGCCCAAGAACCATGCATTTTACAGCACATAAGCCAAGGTAACCCTGATATACACAGGAATGTTGCCCAAAAGTGCCCCTGGGGCTGTTACTCCTCAACTTTTCCAGGTATTGGACACCGTGTCCCAGCCCCTTCTGTGTTTCTTTGATGGAATGGGAGCTGATACTCTGACTTCCCTAAATACCACTTCCTGTTGGGTTCTGACTTCCAAAAGATATGAGGTCCAGAAGGTGATAAATATAAGTACAGGTTAATAGCAGGACCAAGAACCAACTCACAGCTCCTGCACTGTTGTGTGCTAAGTCTGGGGAATCTGATTCAGGAAACGGACGCTCTCGTCTCCCAAAGCTCAACAGAAACATGAAGAGTAGATCTGAGAGTTACCTGGCTCGAGGTGGAGGCAGCAGCTGAGAGAGCCGGTGAAGGATCACCCAGAAGTGCCCGAAGGGGCTTCCCTTCTGGAATGGAGCCCTGCACAGGGGTGGAAGCACTGCCTTTGGTATAAGCGGGCCCCTTGACTTGGTCTGGGGGGACATACCTGTGAAAAAGAATAGTTAGGCTGTAAAACTTTGGACCATGCTCAGCTTAGGTGTTTGGGAAGACACAGGTAACAGGAGTCAAAGTTTATTTTCATTTTTCTCTAATTCCCTTTTTTGAAGGGAACTGAACAACTCAGCAAAGTTCTGCCTATCTTGAGCATTCCCTTAAACATCTTCTTGTTTTTCTGAGATGGAGTCTCACTCTGTTGCCCAGGCTGGAGTGCAGTGGCACAATCTTGGCTCACTGCAACCTCTGCCACCCAGGTTCAAGCAATTCTCCTGCCTCAGCCTCCCGAGTAGCTGGGATTACAGCCGCTCACCACTAGGCCCAGCTAATGTTTTGTATTTTTAGTAGAGATGGGGTTTTACCATTTTGGCCAGGCTGGTCTCGAACTCCCTGGTGATTCGCCCACCTCAGCCTCCCAAAGTGCTGGGAAAACAGACGTGAGCCATGGCGCCCGGCCCATCTTTTTTTTTTGAGACAGGGTCTCACTGTCGCCCGGACTGGAGTGCAATGGGGCCATCTTGGCTCACTGCAGCCTCAACCGCCCAGGCTCAAGTGAACCTCCTGCCTTAGTCTCCCAAGTAGCTGGGACTACAAGTACATGCTATTATGCCTGGCTAATGTTTTAATTATTTGTAGAGACTAGGTCTTGCTACGTTGTCCAGGCTGGTCTCAACCTCTTGGCATCAAGTGATCCTCCACCTCAGCCTCCAAAGTTGTGGGATCATAGGCGTGAGCCACCGCCCCTGGCAAAGGTCCCCCTCTTTTGTTTCCTGGGTGTTTCTTCAGAGTCCTTCTCAGTTCCACAGAAAAGCTGCCTGGCATCTCATCCTCTAGGTGCTCACAATCCACACTTCTATCCTGCCAGCTCCTGCTACTGCTGAGACAATTCCCATCTACTGCAATGTATGTGGCCCCTACTCTGTGTCATCTTAATCCTGAGGACATCCCTAGGAGGGACTCCACAGTGTAGTCTCATCCACCTCAATCTCTGTTCTCTGCATTCTCTTCTCTACCTACAGTTACCTCCCAACATGCACACACCCCAGAGATCCCACAAGAGGAAGTGATACCAGGGGAGAGGAAAGGTAAAGGAGAATAGAGATGCTGTTTTCTTCATCAGGAGGACAAAATACAGTTGTCCCATGGTATCCTCAGGGAACTGGCTCCAGGATGCCCTGACAACCATAATCAGAGGACAGGATGCTCAAGTCTCTTAAAAAAAAATGGTGAAATATTTGCATATCAAATATGTGCATCCTCTAATATACTTTAAATCATCTCTAGATTACTTATAAGACCTAATACAATGTAAATGCCATGCAAATTGTTGCTATACTGTATTGCTTTTATTTGTAGTATTTTTGTATTGTTATTTTTTGTTTTCCCAACTTTTTTTTTTTTTGAGATGGCATCTCTCTCTGTGCCCAGGCTGGAGTGCAGTGGTGCAATCTCAGCTCACTGCAACTTCTGCCTCCTGGGTTCAAGTAATTCTCCTGCCTTAGCCTCCCTAGTAGCTGCAATTACAGGTGCCCACCACCATGCCCAGCTAATGTTTTTGTATTTTTAGTAGAGATGGGGTTTCACCATGTTGGCCAGGCTGGTCTCAAACTCCTGACCTCAAGTTGTCTTCCCACCTCAGCCTCCCAAAGTACTGGAATTATACCTGTGAGCCACCGTGCCTGGCCTGTTTTCCCAAATATTTTCATGTAAGGTTGATTGGATTCATACATACAAAATCTATAGAGGGCTGGCTGTACGTATAAATCGTGAAATGGGCTCCGTGGCTTATACCTGTAATCCCAGCACTTTGGGAGGCCAAGGTGGGCAGATCCCTTGAGCCCAGGAGTTTGAGACCAGCCTGGGTCACATGGCGAAACCCCATTTCTACAAAAAATACAAAAATTAGCCAGGCATGGTGGCACACACCTGTAGTCCCAGCCACTGGGGAGGATGAGGTAGAAGGATCACCTGGGCCCTGAGAAGCTGAGGCTACAGTAAGCTGTGATTGTGCCACTGCACTCTAGCCTGGGCAACAGAGTGAGACCCTGTCTCAAAAAAAATGAAACGATGGGTTAAAGGAATAGAACTATAAGGTATGTGCTTCCAGCCATCTCTCCCCATACAAGAGATCAGTTGAGCTATAAAAATGAACTCCCACAGGCCTACCTCCTGACTCCAGTCAGTCTACTATCTCTCCAAAAGAGAGGACACAAAATCTGCAGGGTTAGTGACTGAGAACAAGTTGTCCTTTCACGTAGATTTATTTTAGCCTTAACTATGAATGTGAATGGAACAGAATCAACCCAAGTCTATCCTTTGTGAGAAGGCCAAATTCAACTCTAGAAACTGGACTGTCAGATGAAGAATGTCTTGCACACGTTTCCATAGCAACCTCTTTCCTATTCCTTACCATCTCTTCTTCTCATATTTTTCCTGGAGAAACTCCTTCACTTTCTGAGGATCCCTGGAATCTGGTACTAAAGATGTCCGAGCATCAAACAGACCTAGCCAAATCTTCCGGCAAACCTAAAAGAATGAAGGTGTCAGAGGAGTTGGAGCGGAAAGCATGAAATACAAAAGATACCACTTCCCTTTTTCTTTTTTTTTTAGACAGAGTCGCCCTCTGTCGCCAGGCTGGAGTGCAGTGGTGGGATACTGGCTCCCTGCAACCTCTGCTTCCCAGGTTCAAGTGATTCCCTTGCCTCAGCCTTCCGAGTAGCTGGGACTACAGGCGTGCGCCACCACACAGGTTTCACTGTGTTGGCCAGGATGGTCTTGATCTCTTTTTTTTTTTTTTTTGAGACGGAGTCTCACACTGTCCCCCAGGCTGGAATGCAATGATGCGATCTCTGCTCACTGAAGCCCCACCTCCCAGGTTTAAGCGATTCTCCTGCCTCAGCCTCTCGTGTAGCTAAGCACCTGCCACCACGCCCGGCTAATTTTTTGTATTGTTAGTAGAGACGAGGTTTCATTATATTGACCAGGCTGGTCTTGATCTCTTGACCTCATGATCCGCCCACCAGCACCTCCCAAAATGCTGGGATTACAGGTGTGAGCCATCACACCTGGCCACCACTTCCTATTTATTCATCAGTAAGTATACATTGGCTAGGTGTGGTGGCTGACACCTGTAATTTCAGTACTTTGGGAGGCCGAGGTGGATGGATCACCTGAGTACGGGAGTTCAAGGGCAGCCTGGGCAACATAGCGAAGCCCCCTCTCTACAAAAGAATACAAAACTTAGTGGAGTGTGGTGGCACGTGCCTGTAGTTCCAGCTACTCAGGAGGCAGAGGTAGGAGGGTCATTTGAGCCCAGGAGGTTCAGGTTGCAGTGAGCCAAGATTGCGACACTATACCCCAGCCTGGGTGACAGAGCAAGACCTTGTCTCAGATAGACAGATAGATAGATAGATAGATAGATAGATAGATAGATAGATAGAGCATGGACACAGTGTTAGGATCTGGGTTTACCTACAAACCAGACATGATTTCTATCCTTGCAGCGTTTATAATCTAATGGGGTGGTCATGTATTAGATAAATAAAACTAAGTATTGAAAAAGGGAAAACAGAGGGCCATGAGAATTATGGAGAACTGAATTTCGACAAGGGTAGGATCAGGGACAATTTTCAGAGTTCTGGCTTCCAGGACACCTCCAGATGCCCTTGATGACATCCCGTAAGTAAACCAATCATCCATAATCTGGGGGTACTGCTAACGCCAAGGATGGCAACTTCTGATCAGCAAATTTAGCTGGGGAAGAGGTTTAAGTCACTTTCAAGTAAAAGACATGCATTTAAATACAGGTTGTCAAAGTTTAAGGCAGCAGAGCTGGCTCCAGAAGAGCTTCCTCAGAGGGCTGGCCTAGTCAACTCTGAGTGCTCAAGCCCCAGAGCTCTGATCACTCTACTCCTCCATTGCCCAGGTACCACATCCTACAAAGAAATTGATACTTCCCCTGACTACAGAAAAAGGGGCCTATACAAACCACAATTTGTACAACTAAGGTTCTGTAAATATACAAATGCACCTAAGGAAAGAAATCATACATATGAAAAAATTAAAAGAAACGATACGTTTCCCTACAATCTTGAGGCAAAGCCCCGCCTGCAGATAGGGTGACCTTCTCACCACTCCATTGGTGGCAGCTCACCTCATTTCCACGGGATTGCAGGAAAACTACTTCAGGCTCAGTGAAAGTTGTCATGGAGATTGACTTGACACGATGAGGGGGGTTCAGCCCTCTCCTGCGGGAGAGAAACAGGAAGAAAGAGAATAATAATGAAGTTAGCATGGCAGGCTGCTCATGGGAGGAGGAGGGAGAAAGGGTGAAACAATAGCACATAAACTAAGCTCAGAGAGAACCCCCCACACACACCTGAAGCTACTGCCTAATTACAGGAAACAAAGGAAATATTTGGCGACAAGTCTCCAAAGAGAGGCCAGGCATGGCAACTCACACCTGTAATCCCAGCACTTTAGAAGGCCGAGGCAGGTGGATCACGTGAGGCCAGGAGTTCAAGAGCAGCCTGGCCAACATGATGAAACTCCATCTCTACTAAAAATACAAAAATTACCCAGGGGTAGTGGTGCATGGCTGTAATCCCAGCTACTCAGGAGGCTGAGGCATGAGAATCGCTTGAACCCAGGAGGCAGAGGCTGTAGTGAGCCGAAATCATGCCACTGCACTCCAGCCTGGGCGACAGAGCAAGACTCTGTCCTTGCCAACCCCCCACCCCCCGCCCCACAAAAAAAGAAGTCTCCAAAGAGACAGGGAAGAGAGTCAGGAACATCCTGCGAGCCTAGTCGCTCTGGAGAGGAAAGGCAGAGCCTGCCCATCCAGAAGCGTCCTCTAGCCTGACTCAGATCCCAACAGTTTCAGTGTTCAACCTGTAGGCCAAGGGGGGGTACTTCTGTCAACTCAGACACGTGACCACTTCCCATTTCCTGTGTTATCATTGTTTTAGACCTGCAGTCCACCCACAATGTCCCAGAGCCCACAAAAACACAAATCCCTCAAGCATGAGGGAAAGCAAAAATGAAGGCCCAGGACTATTCTTGATAACATTAATAAAAACAGGATTTGGTGACAAAAAAACAGTCTCTAGCCCTGGCTGGCCCTCCCTGTATCTACACAGAAGGGTAGAGTGGTAATGGGATGGACAGATTCCCTCTCTTTCAAGAAGCATCTCAGGGAAAATAAATATTTGACTTTCTTATTTCTAGATCTTTTAATAAAGCAGGAAGAAGTCAAGTTCAACCATGAGCTATGAGGCTGGCATGGGCGAGGAATATGTATACTGTGGCAATGCTTTTGTGTCTCCTCTGTATTTTCTGTTAACTTCCTGGGAATCCAGTTCTGCCTCCAGAAACCTGTGGAGATTACAAGAGAAGAGAAGCCTTACTTGTCCACACTCAACTGGTCTCCGCAGTGTGCTAACACAGGAAACCTGGGGCTAAGCCAGGCCGGGCTTCATGGGTTCCCCTGTCCCTGCACCTTAAATTTTATTCTGGTCTAGGCCTACTACTCACTGGATTAAAACAAAACTGCCCAAGCCAAAACAAGCTAGACTCTGGGACCAGGAGGGAAGCAGTCTCCGCAGATAAGGCCTCTTTAGACTTTTACTCTCATGAACAATAAATGGGCAAATCATGGCCAGGTGCGCACTTTGGGAGGCCAAAGCTGGCAGACTGCCTGAGCTCAGGAGTTCCAGACCAGCCTGGGCAACACAGTGAAACCCCATATCTACTAAAATTAAAAAAACATATATACAAAAAATTAGCTGGGCATGGCAGCATGCGCCTTGCCTCAAGAGGCTGAGGTTGAACCCAGGAGGCAGAGGTTGCAGTGAACCGAGATCGTGCCACTGCACTCCAGCCTGGGACGCAGAGCAAGACTCCGTCTCAAAAAAAAAAAAAAAAAAAAAGGGCAAATCAAGTTGTTCAAATAAAAATCTAGAATAGGGTCCTAATTGACGTCCTCAGGAAGGCAAAGGAAGAAAAAGACAAAAATATTTAACAGCTGAAAATTCATAAAGAAGGTGAGGAAAACACATTCACACTAACAGGTGCACATACAGAATCTAAGCACTCCTGCCAAGTATGAGAGAATGGCAGCGAACATGTAAGCAAAAGCGGGGGCAGGGAGTGGGCAGACTCAGTATAGAGTGAACAGTGAAGGGCGGCCACCCTGCAGATGATAAATTACTCATTATGAGATTCTAACAAAGGACAGGACACTGGAAGCTCCAGTTGAGGCTGTTTGCAGCAATTCTGCTGCTAGACCTTTAGGTATAAAAGGGTCTCGAAAATACTCTCATAAAAGACAAGCAATATCAAAGAGGACTGATGCCCCCAAGGAAAGCTAAGCTCAGGGAAAAACAAAAGCAAGGGTTTGTTACTACATATCAAACAATAGCTCTTCGGCCGGGCGCGGTGGCTCAAGCCTGTAATCCCAGCACTTTGGGAGGCCGAGGCGGGTGGATCACGAGGTCAAGAGATCGAGACCACCCTGGTCAACATGGTGAAACCCCGTCTCTACTAAAGCTACAAAAAATTAGCTGGGCATGGTGGTGCGTGCCTGTAATCCCAGCTACTCAGGAGGCTGGGGCAGGAGAATTGCCTGAACCCAGGACGCGGAGGTTGCGGTGAGCCGAGATTGCGCCATTGCACTCCAGCCTGGGTAACAAGAGCGAAACTCCGTCCCAAAGAAAAAAAAAAAAAATAGCTCTTCAACTTGATCTGCCCTGAAGATTGTCTTCGGATCACATTTCAGATACATCCTGTTTTCTCTCCTAAGGCCTCTCTTCCTAATGGTTTGGTTTGGTTTTGCTTTTAATTCTAGCCAGCCTGCTTTTATACTTTCTCACCTTAACCACTAGGCCCTTCCCCTTCAGAATGTCAGGACTTTCTGAAGTCTAGTCAGACCTCACTGTCCCTGGGATCTCAGAGATCTTCTCCTTCACCTCCTACGAACAAAATTTACTTTGCCAAAACACAAGGCATTATAGGAGGCACTGTGGGGGATACAAAAATTATAGGAGGGCGCTCTCTTCTCACCAGGAGCTCACAAGAATCCAGGAAGCCTGGACAAACATACTTCTCACTGCAGTAGGATACTGTTCAGTTAGGCATTGATGGATCAGGGAGAATGTGACTCCAGGATGCGGAAGGAAGAGAAATGGTCATGGGGAAGGTAAAACCTATTGCGTTTACATTAGAAAAACAGATTCTAAGCCTATCACAAAAAGGTCATTGACATTTCCTGAATGGATAACCAGGAACTGTTAGCTAACTGTAAACAGGGAGGTGCACTTCCTTGTTAGGGGGAGGAGGTAGGACTCAACCCAGGCATCAATCAAGATGGGATGCTTGGAACAACAGAACTTCTTATGGCTGAGCCTGGACTGGAAGAGTTTTGTTTTATTTTTGAGTGGGAGCAGGCAGTAGAGGTGATAGGATGATGGGAAGGCAGAGAAAATAAGAAATGATTTAGGTGCTTTGGGCTAAATGAATCTGTTAGAACAGGATGTTTCCATAGCACAGTACAAAAAGCATTGCTCTGACCTTGATGTCTGTAGACTGGATTTTGTACAACCAGAGCCACAGTCTGGGGGCAGGGAGAATTCTCTACTAGGCAACGCTGCAGCCTAGGAAGGGGGCCTAGTTACGCGGCCTATGAGTCAAGAGTTTTTCTTTCTGAATCACAGAGAGGCCACTGCTGGCCGAGAGAAGCAATTTAGAAATGAGAGCCCCCTCCTCCTGGTAGCTAAAATCACGTGGTCTAGGTGTGCTGCATTGCACTGGGTACATCCAGGAGATGTGAGTCACTGGCCTGGAATTAAACAGGCCCAACTCTCCTACTTGCACCCAGCTCCCCAACATAACTCTCAGGTTCCTCCCAAAAGTAGTAATTACAGCAAATTCATTCTATTTCTAACCAGGAAGTGCTAGGGAGGAACAGAGATCAATTTGTTTTCTCAGAATAGAGTAAGTTTTTCCAATTGAAAGTACATTATTACTAGGACTCAAGCCTCCAGCCAGTGAGGTTGTCTTTATCCACTTCAGTTTCTTTTTCACAGGGCATCTAAGTATTCTGAATTACTTGGCAGCTGAAGCCACTTGCATGTGTAGATGCTAACGTCCACCCAGTCCTCTCTTTCCCCTCTCCCGATTCCATTAAGCATAGTACTACTTCCGCAAGTACCACGCCTTTTGTTTTTCTGTGATCATCACCCTCATGCTGGCCCATATTTTTGCTTCTATCTTGCCTCATAAAAGCATCAAACCTGCTCAGCTGTTCGGATAAGAAGTTTCTGCCAGGTCAACAATGGAAAAAAACCAGTTCCACACAGCACCCAAGTTCTTTTTTATTTGTGCCAAATTTGGACCTGGGAAATCCTTGCCTTTGAACATTTGTGTTCAGATTCATACACCCCAGATCGTGTTTCTTTGCTCTGGAATTTTACTCCTCTGCTTCTGAGCAGGGTACAACTAAACTTGTTTAGCTCTTATCGTGGATGCAAACATGACCATAAAGAGTCCCTGTTAGGGCCGGATGCAGTGGCTCACGCCTGAAATCCTAGCACTTTGGGAGGCCGAGGTGGGTGGATCACCTGAGGTCAGGAATTCAAGACCAGCCCGGCCATCATGGTGAAACCCCATCTTTATTAAAAAAAAAAAAAAAAAAGAAAGAAAAAAAAGAAAAGTCCATGTTAGGAACTTTCAACAGTCCCTAAGAGGAAGGCTCTCCCATTACCCTCTCCAGGGTCAGCTTCACTAATTTTAGGAAACCTCTTCCTTTTTTTTGGGACGGAGTTTCGCTCGTTACCCAGGCTGGAGTGCAATGGATCTCGGCTTACCGCAACCTCCGCCTCCTGGGTTCAGGCAATTCTCCTGCCTCAGCTTCCTGAGTAGCTGGGATTACAGGCACACGCCACCATGCCCAGCTAATGTTTTGTATTTTTAGTAGAGACGGGGTTTCACCGTGTTGACCAGGATGGTCTCGATCTCTCGACCTCGTGATCCACCCGCCTCGGCCTCCCAAAGTGCTGGGATTACAGGCTTGAGCCACCGCACCCGGCCAGGAAACCTCTTCCTAACTAAATTCCGCTTCAATCCATTTCTTCTGTTCCTCCTCAGCAGCAATGATAAACAGCTGTCCTGTTGATTAGAGCCAGGTAGACTCCAAACAGCATCCAGCCGCCTTTCCCTTTAGGCTCCATTTCAATTTCCCCCTTCAGCCCTT